CTTTCTCCTTAACTCTTGTTATCAGGTTCCTTTTGCTCGATATTTGGCAATGAATAAACTGACCAACATTAAACGCTACCACATAGCAAAAGTATATCGGCGGGATAACCCAGCCATGACCCGTGGCCGATATCGGGAATTCTACCAGTGTGTGAGTATGTGGCTAACTTGGCCCTCCCTCAAGCCAGTGGCATCTGCTGAGCACTCATGGTGTCCTGAGCAAACTGGGTGCCCCAGATAATGCTAACTCTTAGGTTTCTTTGGTATTTTCCTATAGATTTCACAAAGGGGAGGGAGAACGGGTAATTCTCCCCGTTTTACATATGGGTAAATTTGATTCTCAGCAGAATGAAGAGATCATTGGGATAAGAAAGTCAAAGTCAGCACTAGAACTCTTGGTCCAGTGCTCTTCATATTAAACCACAGTGATAGGATCAGAGTAAAGGATGAGCAAATTGGATTTGAGGTATGAAATAATCCAGACTGGTGGGCAGAGCTTCTGAATAAATAGAGAAAATAACTAGGACTAAGGCTGTATGGTTGCCCACCAGTGGTAGGAGGAAATAGCAAAAGCAGATGAATGAGATGATGAAGGAATACTAGTCCGATACATGGAAAGGAAATGAGTACTAGTGAGACACACAAGAATGCTGGGGTTTTCCTCTGGGCTAATGATAGAGAATGGAAAAAAAAAGTGGTCTATGCATGAGTGCAAACTGGCTTTTCAGAGAGAGCAAGAGCAGAGCTCCCAAGGATCCCCTCTGAAAAACCCCCGAGGACCTCTGCCTCTCTCCCTGCAGGATTTCGACATTGCTGGGCAATTTGACCCCATGATCCCTGATGCAGAGTGCCTGAAGATCATGTGTGAGATCCTGAATTCCCTTCAGATAGGTGACTTCCTGGTCAAGGTCAGAGCTGAACAAGGCTGGGAGGGCAAAGTCTGTGCAGAGGGACCAGTAGCCTAAGGGACCAAAGCTTTGGAGGGTCATGTAAAGAGATGCTTTGGGTCCCCAGGTGAATGATCGGCGCATCCTAGATGGGATGTTTGCGATCTGTGGGGTTCCTGATAGCAAGTTCCGTACCATCTGCTCGTCAGTGGACAAGCTGGACAAGGTAATGACCCAAACATCTGACTCCTTTATTCCCAGATCCCTCCCTGCCTTGACAAATGGAAAACAACTGTAAGGGGGGTGGGGGCGGGGGTGGGAAGGGGCTGCCTCTGTGCCCACCAGGGAAAAATTAGCCTTAGGATGTAGGTTGAAGGGCAGCTTCTGCTCCAAGGCTGCCCCTGAGGAGGGCTCATACTTGTTCTGTGGGGAAGGTGCCCAAGGGTCCCTGACTGCTCTCTGTCTGCCCAGGTGCCCTGGGAGGAAGTAAAGAACGAGATGGTGGGAGAGAAGGGCCTCGCACCCGAGGTGGCTGACCGCATTGGGGACTATGTCCAGCAGCATGGTGAGAAGTGAACCCTGCCTCCCCATCAGCCATCCCACTGCCCTAAATCCTAAAGCTGAAACTCTTCTCTCCGTGTGTGTATGTGTAGGAGAGAGAGAGAGGATGGGAGAGAGACAGAGAAGTGGGAAGTGGGCGGGGAGTGGGGGGAGCACACATACATGTACGATCCAGGCAAAATGATACAGCCCCTACTTTTTTCTTCTGATCAGTCATTCTTGCTTGCAAATCTGTCTCCCCAGGTGGGGTATCCCTGGTGGAACAGCTGCTCCAGGATCCTAAACTGTCTCAAAACAAGCAGGCCTTGGAGGGCCTGGGAGACCTGAAGCTGCTGTTTGAGTACTTGACCCTGTTTGGCATTGCTGACAAGGTGAGTCAGGTTGGGGACGGGAGCCCTCCCTGTGCTCTGGGGCTTCAGGTCCTTGATCCCCATCTGGTACTGACATGTTCTTGTCCCCACAGATTTCCTTCGACCTGAGCCTTGCTCGAGGGCTGGACTACTACACTGGCGTGATCTATGAGGCGGTGCTGCTTCAGACCGCGGCCCAGGCAGGGGAAGAGCCCTTGGGCGTGGGCAGTGTGGCTGCTGGAGGCCGCTATGATGGGCTGGTGGGCATGTTTGACCCCAAAGGGCGCAAGGTGCCATGTGTGGGGCTCAGCATTGGTGTGGAGCGGATCTTTTCCATCGTGGAGCAGAGGCTAGAGGTGAGTAGAAGACAATCTGGGCAGGCAGTGACAACTGGGCTATCTTCTTTGATCCCCCGGGGGGTCACTTTGGGCAAGGAGCATCTTTGCAGAGAAATGGAGAAAAGATGGACACTACCACACAGACTCCCACCCCATTATAGGACAGCTTTATGGATTTCTGATCATTCTTTTTTCACAAAATATCTGGTTCTGGGTCCCTTCTTCCCTCTGAGCTGTCAGGAATCTAGGCTGGTAAAATTTTTACAACAGCCTTCTGAAAGTAGCTACTTTTACTATCTTTAGAGAACTAAAGATTTTCGATGAAATACCCCAAAGTCATGACTCTCTTAAGTGACAGAGTCCATTTGAATCCAGGCAGTCTAACTGTGAAGTCTTGCTCCCAACCATGCTGTGATAGTCTCTGAGGGGGGAGCGTGTGTCTGAGGCCCTGAGATCCTAAGATGGCTGTCCTGACTCTAGCACCAGGAGTACCACCAGGGAAACCCCTCGTGGCCTCAAGTGCACCTTTGTGGCTGCTGCTCTTAACTGGCTGCTTCCATTTCATCCCCTGGAGAAAGCTCTAGCAGTGACCTTCCCACTGCTCCATCCTTTTCTCTAGGTGGAAACCACCCATGCTTCCCAGTTAAGGTCACTGTTCCAACAGGCGCCTTATGTTGTAGGAGCTATGAAGATAGTGTTCCAGAAAAAGACAAGGGGCGGCAGCAGCATCCTCCCTTCCCCCATCCACACACACCCTGGGTTGTGCCCCATGAGCTGTACCCTCCCCACTGGCAGACAGTAAGTGGGAACTAGAACTGCTAGGGCTGATTGGGTTGCCTGATGGGCTCACAGTATCACTTCGGTGTTACTGTTCTTGTGGGCCCTTAAGGTAGATGGAAGTAAGCTAGAAGTTTCTATAAATAAGCTACCTTTGCCCTCACCCTAGGTAATTTATTCTGGCACGTCAGATGTACAAGCTAGTCAGTTTATTTTTTTCTTTAATATATTTTTATTTATGTCAGAGAGAAAGGGAGAGGGAGGGAGAGGTAGAAATATCAGAGAGAAAATCATTGATTGGCTGCCTCCTGCTCAAAACCCAGGCATGTGCCCTGACTGGGAATTGAACTGTGACCCCCTGGTTCATAGGTCAGCACTCAACCACTGAGCCACACTGGCTGGGCCCAGTCAATTTACTTCTTTTTTTTTTAAATATATTTTATTGATTTTTTACAGAGAGGAAGGGAGAGGGATAGGGAGTTAGAAATATCAATGAGAGAGAAACATCGACCAGCTGCCTCCTGCACACCCCCTACTGGGGATGTGCCTGCAACCAAGGTATATGCCCTTGACCGGAATCGAACCTGGGACCCTTCAGTCCACAGGCCAACGCTCTATCCACTGAGCCAAACTGGTCAGGGCCAATTTACTTCTTCTATCATCTAAGAGCTACCTTATGCCCAGTGGCTGGATGAGAAGACTGGGCCCCTGCCCTGATGGAGCTGGCTGAGTTGGACTTGGTCCCAGGATCCTGACAAGGGCCTGCTCTCTTTGCTCTTTGACGGTGTTACGATGGGTAGCCCAGCTCTCTGACTTTTATCTGCACCTTCCCCAGGCATTGGAGGAGAAAGTACGGACTACAGAGACACAGGTGCTTGTGGCATCCGCACAGAAGAAGCTGCTGGAGGAGAGACTGAAGCTCGTCTCAGAGCTGTGGGATGCTGGGATCAAGGTACAGGAGGCAAGCCCCTAGGTGGCAGCAAACGGGAATGCTGGGCACAGACTAAATACAAGCTCACCCTGCTATCCTGCGATTTCTTGGGGCGGAACTCTGAGCTAGGTGACAGGTTGGGCCCCAGGAGGTTGATCCTGAGGAATGCAGAAGTCAGCCTTCATCTTCTGCCCGGGTTCCCTGCAGGCTGAGCTGCTTTACAAGAAAAACCCAAAGTTACTGAACCAGCTGCAGTACTGTGAGGAGACAGGCATCCCACTGGTGGCCATCATCGGTGAGCAGGAGCTCAAGGATGGGGTCATCAAGCTCCGTTCAGTGGCCAGCAGAGAAGAGGTAAGTAGGTGGGCAGGAAGGCTGAGGGACAGGGAATGTATGCCATTTCAGCAGGCCAATGCCCATTCAAGACCCGAGCAAAAGCCTGGTGTTCTCACAAGTACACACGTGTAAAGGATGTAAGGGCCTGTTATTAGGATCCTGGTAGGGTCAGACTCCATGCCCACAAACACCCTGTGTCTCTGGCTCCCCCAAGAAGCACCGTCCACCCTGAATGTTCTGGGTTCCTGCTCTGAGCTGAGCCAAACCTGATGACCAGAGGGAGGAGTGGGCACTCAGGGAGCAGTGGAGTGGAAGCTGCTCATATCGCTTTCTTCCCCCATCCTGGCCAGGTGGATGTCCGAAGAGAAGACCTTGTGAAGGAAATCAAAAGGAGAACAAGCCCACCCCTTTGCATCTGCTGAATTGAGCAAACTCTCAGAGGAAAGTGGACGGGCACTATTTAAGGCTAAGACAAAACTCTGCATATATACTTCAGCCTCTTCGCACACTTCCAGTGGGAAACCTGAAGAGTAGTCAAAACAGAGACTTTTTATTTTTATTATTTTATTGATAATCACAGGTAATTTTACTGTGCCATTTTCCATAGAAAGCCCTGGGGGCTCAATCCAGTCTGGCCCCGAGGCTACAAGGACCGCGCCTGAGATGGCTCCCTCTGCAGGACCCTCCACCAGGAGGAGACACTGCTCCCCACAACCCGTCACCAAAGGTGCAATAAAATATCTCAACCACTGCAGCCCGTCTGTGTCGCTATAGCCTAGCGCCTTCCTGCCCTGTCAGTCTGACCGCTTTAGCAGTGGGAAATGGGGAGACAGACTGACAGCAGGCTCTTGCCCGGGGTGAAGGGTGCCCCCTGCGTCCTTCTTCCCTCCGTGGTGTGCCAGCCATGTCTCAGGAGCCGAGTCGGCCTGCAAACTCAGCCACTAGGGTTTCTAGCTTTCACCTGAGGGTCCCGGCGCACGTGCGGCGGATACTCCCACCCCCCGTGGGAGGCGGGGTCGTGCTCGGAGCCAATGCGAGCTTGGGAGGTGGAGGGGTAGGGAAGCTTCCAGAGGCCGCTAGGGAGGAGGTTATAAAAGGGACCAACGCCGGACCAACGCCAGAGCAATGCAGTCCAAGCGGGAGTACGAGGTAAGCGTTTGCCAACGAGGGGTGAACGAGCACCACCTGCGCAGGGAGTGGGGGCCCTGGGGGCCCGGCACAACAGGCGAGGCGGGGGCGGGCGCGGCCATCCGCCATTCCGACCTGCCCTTTCCCCAGCAGCTGTGGTGTGAGAGGGTGAATCCAGAGAACAAGGCGGC